TAAGATTTAAATGTTTCAAATCCCTGCTTTTTTTACCAAAAAAATGTTTGTTTAGGGTCATGATCGGTATTTTGTCTTTGGCGATGTAGCGTATCCTCGAGACGTGAAAACGAATCTAACGGTCTACAGTCGACCAAATGAGTATTATACTCTTGAAGCTTTGCTTTGCTTGTGGGAGAATAGAGAAATGCCCCACACTGCATATGTGAAGGATGCTTCTGGCAGAGGGATGCAATGCGTCACTCGCCCCGATCGGTTTGTTTTTAGCGGCGCTTTCAAATGTCTTAGGAGCCTAAAAATTGATCTTGACTACAAATGTTTTTTTATTAGAAAGCTCTGAGATCCAAATTACAAATTACGCATAGAATTCGTGTATGAATTATAAATTCGTGTATGCTGTTGATTCGCCACGAGATGCTTTTGTATCAAAATATAGGGGTAATTTTAATTTAGGCGGGAGCTCCTCGCTTACTTAAAAGGTGAACGTGAACAACCGCCGCAAAGCGTTGATGTTTTGGCTCCTATTCCAGCCCCAATTCCTGTTTCTCGTTTAATTGATCAGAATGAGCCAGAAATAAAGAAGCTTCGTTACGATGGCGAGGAAAACAGGTAGGTGCTTTGTTTTTCCAATGGGAAATAAAAAATTTTTAAGTCGTTTTCCATACAAAGTCGTAGAAAGAGTCATTAATAGAGGGACATTTACTTAAACTTTTTTTAGACACTCTTTGAAGGTGAGCTCTAGACACACTAATTTCTTCTAGGCATAGTCGACTAAAGTAACAAAACTTCTACTTTTTTTCAAAATTAAGGCAGCGAATTCAAAATCTGCTTATGGGTACAGTAACGGAAGATATTAAAAGTTCGTCAGAAGGTGTGCGTGACTTAAGTGACAAGCTTACTGCTGACAAAATTGCTGCTTTGAAGAATAAACGGAAAAAGAATATGGCGAGGAACACGATAAAGGCTGTCGATGAGTAAGTTTTGCTTGAGGCTCTCTGGAAATCTCAGGTGATAGCCGGCAGTATCATAAGGAAATTGTTCTTTCAATTCCTGGTTGGATTCAACTATTATTTGGCACTGTGGTCAGAAGCTTGTTCTAACTTTTCTGTCTGTGAGACAAAATTTCAAATTTTTATCTGTTAGGTTATCTTTAGCTTCCCAGTATCAATGGAATTGGATGTATCCGAAATGGGGGCAGATGTTTTGGATCGTGAAATGAAGAATAAGGAAAGAGTTTGGAAAAATAGGAAAAGTATCATGGAGTCGGCTTCTAAAGACTTTACTCCAATTCTTTCCTTGCTTCATAGTCTAAAAGTAACAGTTTTTTGCAGAATTATCATTTTAAACTGTTTTCAATAACTTCGCTTCATAACTGATGCTTGCTCCACTTACCTTGCACCTTTCTTCCAACAGATGCGCGAAGAAGCAATCCAGCGGCAAAAGATTGCTGCGCCACCTCAAAGGGTTTCAACAAACGAAAGGACGCAAGTTCAATCCGTTGGTTATTCACGTTACGACCAAGAAAGATTTAACAAGGACCAAACTGCTGGTTTTAAGATTGAAACTGGGCTTACATTCCAAGGTCTTTACAGCAAAATCCTTAGATCATTGTTTTGAAGGTATAAATTAACAAAAAAAGGTAGATTTATGTTGTATGAAACAATTATAATTGTAGGCACTTCCTTAAAATCAATGTCTTCCTCTGGCGCGAAGCCCATGGCTGCTGATTCTCCTGTACCTCTGACAGCGAAAATGGCTGCGCCGTCTTCCTCAGATACGCCCTCTCGTCCTCAAAAAAGACAATCGCGAACTCCGATAATTATTATTCCTGCAGCAGGAACTTCGTTAATCACTATGTATAATGTCCGTGATATTTTACAGGTGTGACATTTGTGACATTTCATTTCGTCACGCAAACTTTCTTCGTCAGATATTCTTTCAGCACTTATTTAGAACTGAGGAACGCTATGAATATAGATTATTCAAAGTACTACAAGATTTACTGCTTAGTTTTTAAGGAAATGCGTTTTGTGAGCACTGAAGAACGAAAGGCAACTTCACGGAGAGAGAATGAAGTTCTTTTGCAAAGAGCTAAAGAGGGTGGTGTAACAGTGCCTTACAGAGTTGTTGAAAATCCACTCAAGTTGAGTGACGATGAGTGGGGTCGCGTTGTCGCTGTCTTCGTTCAGGTTTGCTCCTAAATATCATTTTTTTGGCTAATTTATCGCTGTGCTTCCTATTTTTGATGCTTAAGTTCATTTGAAAAATAGTCCTGCAGCTGTTATGTTTTTTTGTCTTATGTTATACCTCTTTATTTCAGGGCCCCGCCTGGCAGTTTAAAGGATGGAGGTGGGGAGGCAACCCAACTGATATTTTTTCAAACGTAGCAGCTTTCCACTTAATGTTTGATGACCAAAGATTGGATAATAATGTTGCGAAGTGGAGCGTTAACGTACTGAAGCTCTCAAGGAGTAAGCGTCATTTAGACAGGGCTATCCTCGCAAAGTTCTGGCAAGTACTAGACAAACATATAGTAAAAAACAAGCCCCACTTGAGGTATTAGTTTTGCTTCCCTGCAAGTTGGTGGCGTCATCTCACTGGTTGTACATAATTCGGTCTCGAAGTTTATATGATATAATTGTCCATAAATTCTCCAAATCTTTGGTATTATTCCTGGCTTGAAGTATGGTGTCAGAAATATACCTGGATAGATAGATACCTGGCCTGTTGCACATAGTGGTACAAAACACAGCTGCGTGCTCATATTTTGCTCAAATAAGTGGGTGGCGCGATGCCGTTTCCCGTCGTCCACTTCTTACTGTGCGGCAATCCAAATTTCCTTGACAGCGCCGTCAATCAGCCACTCGTTGGACCCGTTTTTAGTAAGCTGTCTCCCCCCGAACCACGCTGTGTCAGCTGAGCAATCTTGTTGTCTTCCACTATAACCGCAGCTGTTAAAGACGGACAGGAAGGGTGCAAAACATTTCAGGAAGCCGCTAGAATGATCTGTAACGATCAAGACTTACATCTGTGAAGTTCACTTTGCGTATTTTAGTGACACGTTAGGCTCAACTGTACCTCTCCATATATTTTATTAAATCAGATGCACTTTTTACATGTATACGCAAAAAAAAAAAAAAAAAAAAAAAAAA